CCTCTGCTCAAGGAGGATAGAACAGCACCACCAAGCACTCTGTCCTTCCTGCTACCTGCCCCACCACAGGGAAGAGACATTTCCTTGAGTAAAAGCTTGCTAGAATTCCAGGTCAGAGAATTAGAGGGCCTTGAACCTTTTAAGGTCATCCTGAGAGTGGACCAGGTCGCCTGCTCTGAACTCCTTCAAAAAGAAGTACCAGTTGCTTGCTTCAAGCAGACTTGCCTGGAATGTGACAAAGCTACCAAGTGCTCTTAGGGCTCCCAGGACCTCCATCCCCAGCCAAACCTGCCAGTCTTGAAGCAGAGCATCTGTAAAGTGCCACCCAAAGGGTGGCCAACTGTGATGCTGGAACAGGTCTGCACTGACACTTTATCCAGGGTCCTAGAGCATACTTGGTTTTCTCACATGTGGGAAGAGTGCTGATGGGCTGTCAGGTAGGATAACATCAAGAGCCTGTGCGGTTCTCCCAGGCACCTGGTTTATCTGGAGGACACAGGACATGGATCCTTCTCCTTTTCACTTTCGGACCACCGAGTACCAAGAACCCTTGGCCATCAATGCTACCAGGCAGCTTTGCCACACACTGGTCAGACAGACACATATCCCCGCTTGGCTGCTGAGTCTCGGGAAAACCTGCCCACATCTCACCTGATGTCAGCACACAGTCAGTGCCCCTGGCTCCATTCAGACCAGTGGAGACTCCGTCTCGGAGAGCCTCCAGTTTCTTATCATAGCAAGGAGCCACAACAACATGAAAAATCTTCTCTGGAGGCAAGTTCTGTGGAGGCAAGCACATGATGGCAGCCTACAGATGGCACCTAGAGCATGGGGCCCAAGGGACAGGGTCCCAGTTGCTGCTGCCACCCTGTCCCATGAGTGGCTCTATACTGGGAAAAAAGTGGGGAAGAACAGGTATGTTCTCCATCTGATTTACATGCAGACTTTCTGAAACTGTCCAAGTTAACGTCTAAAGCCACACCTCGTCTGGGATAAACCAGGAGCCAGTGGATTCCCAGTGAGTCATGGGTGGACAGACCCTACTCAGGGCAGGGGTAGAGCCCAAGAGGAAATGTACATTGATCCCAGGCCTGTAAGGGGTTAAGCCAAGAAGTGGCTAGAAGCCAGGTTTCAAGGCCCAGCTGCCTGCAGCATCAGCTGCAGGAGGACCTGGAACTTTAGGCAGGAAAGGAAGGAAGGGCTGAAAAGAGAAAACCTGAACTCCTGCCGCAGGTACAAGTGGGGAAGGGAAAGGCCGACGTACCACAGCCATTTCTTTGTCTCTCCCAATCCAGCACACACGGTTGGCCAACTATGGTGACTTTATAACAAAGGAGAGAAGGAAACACTCCCTGGGGCTAAAATGAAGAGCTTGCCAGGCAGGTGCTGTCTTCTTGGGCTGGTGTCAATGTTGGGAAGACCCTTCATCTTGCTCTTTTCTAGTTACCATAGGGCCCAGACGTTTTGTTCTCATGAAGAAGGCAGGCAGGAGGGGAACTATTTCAGGTTGCTCAAAGCCTTGTAACCATAGAGGAAGAAGGGCTGAGGCAGGGGCATGCAACCCTACTGTGACTCATCTATCGCATGGAAGACAGGGTCAAGACCATGGCAGGATCTCATAGAGCATCTAAGGGTGACACCTATGGCCTTAGGCAAAGACCAGGGCAGAGGTGAGGCTTGGCTCTGGGTGACCGATGTCCTCAGCCTCCAGGCACCCAGAAACAATCAGGCAGTGTCCCTATGGGTGAGGCCCAGGTCCTCCCTGTCTGTAGGGTGTACAGTTTCCTCCAGGCCTTGCTGACCTGGCATCTACCCTCCTGCTTGCTCTCTAGAGAGGTCGGCTTACCTGCTGTCTGGCAAAGTAATCCTTCACCAAGGAGCCCATGACCTGCTGAGGGGACTTGGCAGTGCACAGATGAGGGGTTAGAGGGCTGCCCAACACCCGCTCAGCATATCGGACCCAGCCTAGACAGAGAGAGAGAGAGAGAGAGAGAGAGAGAGAGAGAGAGAGAGAGAAACAGGCATGAGGTCAGCTCCCAAACCTTCCTCTTGCCTTCTGGGAGGAGTACCTTCTGGTACTGGGTGCTCTGAGTTCCTGAGCCTGTCATCCCAGGGTAAGCCAGGACTGTCCCCACTTATAGCCTGTCCTAGGCTCCCAGACTGCGTAGGATGGGCCCACCCACCTCCTGCCTCGGCCAAGACCACCATCATTCCCTCAGTTCCAGTGAAATGGTGTCAGCACTTCAACAGACATGCAGTGGGCTTGGGCTCACCAGGACAGGCAGAGGTCAGCATGGGCAGTGCACGCCGCTCCTCACTGTGCTGGTGATATCGACGCACAAATTCCTTCTGACTCTCCAGGATGCTGAAATCTGCAGCAATTGTGGTGTCAAACACATAGTGCACCCCTGCAAGAAAGAAGGATATGGACTCACACGAGCACAAGATCATGGCAGGTTCTAAATACTGTCTCATTTTATATTAAGACAAGGTCTCAGCATTCAGCTCTGGCTGGCCTGGAACTCACGGTGGTATGTAAATGAGTGCTCTTGAATTTGTAATGATCCTCCTGCCTCTAGCTCCTAAGTACTGAATTAAAACAGTGGGCCACCACAATTGGCCTTATTAAAAATATTTATTTACTTTAAGTGTATGAGTGTACTGCCTGCACTTGTGTAGTGCACTTGTGTCCTACAATGGCTAGGGAGAATGCTAAGAAGCCAGGCATGGTAGAGCATGCTTTTAGTCCCAGTGCACTAGAAAGGCAGGCAGAGGCAGGTGGATCTCTGTGAGTTCGAGGCCAGCCTGGTCTACATAGCGAGTTCCAGGACAGCTGGGGCTACAGGGAGACCCTGTCTCAAAAAGACAAAAAAAAAAAAAAAAAAGAATAAAAAAAAGAATGCTGAGAAAAGGCCTGAAAGGGAGCTGGAGATATGACTCAGTGGTCAAGAGCACTAGCTGTTCTTGCAGAAGACCCAGGTTTGGTTCCTAGCATCTACATGGCAGCTAACAACTCCAGTTCCAGGGTCTCCCTGTATCCCCAGCTGGCCTGGAACTCACTATGTAGACCAGGCTGTCCTTGAATTCACAAAGATGTACCTGCCTCTGCCTCCCAAGTGCTGCGACTAAAGGTGTGTGCCACCATACCCGGCTTCTTTTTTTTAAAGACAGTGTCTCACTATGCAGCCCTGGATGGCCTGGAACTTACTATATCGACCAGACTGGCCTCCAACTCAAAAGCTCTGCCTGCCCACTGAGATTAACAGCGTGTGCCAGCACACCTAACTGTACTCTCTAATAACCAGCTTTTATCCCTCATGTGAAGGACACAAGCCTGGGGCTGTATTGCTAGCAATAGTGAGAGCACATGGACAGTAATCATTTCAGCAGCAATGATCAAATAATCACTCTTTGTGAGCTGAAGTCAAATGTAGGAGCCTCCCATGAATCATTGTGCACACTGTCAGCAGGTGATCAAGTCTGACTCTAGAAGGATCAGCCACACTGTAACACAATACCCGCCTGCACAAGGCATAGGTACATGACCCCCGCTATCGCTGGTGGGAAGCTAGTTTCATGACACAATGACGTTCCAGGAACTCTCCTGAAGTTCCCTGTCCTGTGCCCTTGAAGACTGAACTTGAGAGGTACAAAGGGCCCTTTGTGAACTTAAGGTATAAATTCACAATATTGTCTAGAGGCCACTGACTCACCAAGACTTTTGAGGAAGCCACAGAGTCTTCTGGATGCATCGATGACACTGAGGTTGAATTTAGCAGCAAAATAAGGCAGAGACTGAGGACACACAGACACAACCAACACTTGGTGCTTTGAAGTATCACATTTCTAGAAGGAGAAACAGTGTCACGTGTGCTGATCACACAAGGAGCACAGTCAGATTCCTTAGTGAAAAAGTCATAATTAGACTGTAACAAGTGCTCTATGGAAAGGTGAATAAAATACACAGACACCTGTCCTGAGGAAGGGCACTGTGCAGGTTCTTGATGCCAGCCCTCAGCACTGCCCCACACCACCTGTATGCCTAGGTTCCCAGTGCTGTCTATGCCAACTCAAGGTGGGGCCATTACTGCAGGTTTAAAGCCTGGATGACAGGGATAGCTATTAGAAATTCCTAACAAAATCCTATGTAGAAGTCAACTTTATAAGGATTTCCACTAAACACAGGAATGTATTAACCAACACCATTTGTCACCCCTGTTACTTGACACCAGTTTAAAGGTTCTATCAATATAATCAGAAAACGAGGTAGAAAGGTTCTGGGCATAGTAGCCTATGTCTACAATCCTAGTACTGTAGAGCTGAGGCAGGAGGATAGCAAGTTGGAGACTAGCCTGGGCTATATAGTTAAGATATTGTCTCATAGGGGCTGGAGAGATGGCTCAGCGGTTAAGAACACTGGTTGTTCTTGTAGAAGACCTGGGTTCAAATCCCAGCACCCACATGGCAGGTAACAACTGTCCATAACTCCAGTCCCAGGGGATCTGACAGCCTCTTCTGACTTCTGCGGGCATTGCACGGCATGAGTACACTTATCTACATGCAGGCAATACACGCATACACATAAAATAAAAATAAATAAATTTAACAAAAGATTGTCTCATTAAAAAAAGAAAAGTATGGGGCTGGAGAGATGGCTCAGCAGTTATGAGTGCTTGCTGCTCTTGCAGAAGACTGGAGTTTTAGTTTCCAGCACCCACACTGGATGGTTCACAACCACCTGCAACCCTAGCTCCAGGGGATCCAAGGGATCCTATACTATACCTCTTTTGGCCTCCATGGGCACCTGAAAACATGTGCACACTCACATACATAAATAAATTTTTCTAAAGGTATAATAGCTACAAAATTAATTACTTGCAGTTAATAAACCTATAAACCTAAAATACTCTGACAAACCAGTCAAAAATTAAGAAAGTTTATAAAATGCTACATGTAAAATAGACTGTAAACCAAGAGCGCTCCAACACACCTACAACACTAACACTGTGGACATAGCAGAATAAAGTGTAGTGTGCATAACAAAGCAGCAGTAAAATCCAGTCAGGTCGAGAGCAAGCTCCAGATACAAAGACGAAATGGAGAACTGGAGAGCAGTCCCCAACCATGTTGATGGGGTAACAGGCTCGGAAGACCCCAACAACTGGAGAGGTGCAGTTTTCACAGATGAGAAGATTCCATACAGCAAAATAGAATTTATTGGCATGGGAACACACGCCTATAATCCCAGCATTTGGAAGGCTGATACAGGAGAATCAGCTATGAGTTCAAGGCCAACCTGTGCTACAAAGTAAGACTGTCAAAAAAACAAAGATCAGGGGACTGGAGAGATGGTGCAGCGGTTAAGAGCACTGGCTGTTCTTGTAGACGGCCAAGGTTCAATTCCCAACACCCACATGGCAGCTAACAACTCCAGTTCCAGGGGATCCAACAGCCTCTTCTGACACTCATACAATAAAGTAAAATAAAAAACAACAACAACAAAAAAACCCCCACAAAATCAACCAACACAAAAGAGTTCTACCACTTCTGCAGAGTGTGCCAGGAAAGCAGGGAGTATCACAGAAGAGCTTGATATTACAGAACTGCTGAGACCACTCCATAACCTAAAAGGACCACAGCATGTGTAATGACTGTGGCCCCCACGGGGCTCTACAGCATTCACCGCAACCAGCCAGTTCTGGTGCACACCAGCAAGAGCACACTTAGACAACATACTAGCAAAGAAAGACATATTCCCATTTCAAACTACACCCTTAAAATGGTGGATGACTGGTCCAGTAAGACAACAGTGGGTTAGAGGCAAATCCTGAGAAGCCTGCAGGGCTCTGTCCTCAGTGTGGGGACGTGCACAGCAAACCAGTTACTTCTTAAGGAGCGCCCCCTTGCTCCAGCTGCACTACTGCAGAACAAGGACTACCCTACTGGTGTGGGTCTGGGCATGACAGCCAAGCAGAGCTGGACAGTCTGTAAACTCCCCAGAGACAGCGTCAGACACAGCTTTCTTTATCTTTGTCTCTACCGTGTCCTTTTCATCCTCTATTGTACTAACAAAGACCACAGCACTGGGATTCTGTATGAGGTGGAAGATAAGCCACAGGAGACTGGGCTTATACCTCCTTGAGGAGTCTCACCCCTGCCCCAGTAAGTGAAGTCCATTAGAATACAACCCCAGCATCCTGATGGGTCCCAGGGACAGAGCAGCATTAGCCAAGGCATCAGGCTTGATGCCAACCCACTTTAAGGCCTCTGGGCAGTGGGTTCTGATGGGTGGTGCCAGCCACCACCATCAACTCTGCAAAGATTCTGGGTGGTTTTTTTTTTTTTTTTTTTTTTTTTTTTTTAGACAAAAAAAAAAAAAAAAAAAAGAGGACGATAAATCTTTCACTGTGATATATCAAAATAA